CATGTCATGCAAATCAACAGCACTTTGAAAAAACAAACATATGGAAGCAAAATAAAATTTGTTATTATGGCTATACATTGAGGTCTTATGAGGTGAACTTATCAATGAGCAAGAAATCAAACATTATTTATAACTTTACTAAATTTGGCTCACATGTGATTGTGTGTGTGTGTGTGAATATATATATATATATATATATATATATATATATATATATATATATATATATACACACACACACACACACACACACACACATATAAATAAAAAAAAAAAAAAAGATTTTTTTTTTTTTTTTATATATACATATATAAAAATATATATATATATATATATATATATACACATACTCATACACACACTGAGAAAGTGTTTTATATTACCAAAGAACACAGTTAAAATCTGCAAATCTGAAAAAAGTCATAAAATTTTTTTGTTGCTTTCAAATTTGTAAACTAAAGGGATAGTTCAGGGGATCAATAATTTTCCCTCATGTGTTTCTAAACGTTAATGTTGAACACACAAAATAAGCTCTTGTTAATAATGGCACCCATTGTCTTCCATAGTAAGAAAAAAAATACTATAGTAGTCAATGAGTGTCATCAACAAGAATGTTAATAAAATATACTTGTTTGTGTCCAACAGAGGAACGGCTCTCAAATAGGTTTTGAACAAGTGAAGGGTGCAGTAAATGATGACAGAATTGTAATTTTTGGGAGTACGCCATTTTGTTTTATTTACGTTTTGTGAACCATTGTTTCCCAATCCTGTTCACAGTCCACATTATCAAACACACCTGAATCAACTCATTGCATCATTAGAAGAGACTCCAAAACCTGAAATGAATAGTCAGATGAGGGAGATGTCCAAAATATGTACTGGTGGTGTGCCTCCAGGAACAGGGTTGGGAAATACTGGATTGAGCAATAAATCGCTTACCTTGTTCATTGTAATGTGAATTAAATTAGTGATTGTGTTGTCAATTCTGTATGAACACCAATAGCACAGTCATCCCAACAAAACATAAAGCATTTCCTGAATAAAAAACATGAAATGAACCATATTCAAACAGATTTTTTAAGAGAAATTTGCTAACTACGAGTCACTGATGTCTACTGTGTTGGAGTCTGAAAATATATGGTGCGGCGACAGATGGAACTTATCGTCCTCCTGATGTTGTGTTGAAATCGACAGAGGGAGACTCTGAACGAGAATAGTCCCTGGTGGACCTATATCTAAAGCATCATGAGGCAAAATATTTCCAGCGTGCCTGGACATGTCCTGAGATGAAGAACCGTCAATGTTCAAAGATTCCTTAGTGGAGGCGATCATAGGATTTGCTTCCGTTACCACCGTAACCTCAGTCCCACCCTCCTGGATGAGCTTATGGAGGCTTTCCAGGTCAGAACAGGATGTAATGAAGGTGTGCGTGGCTTCAGAAGCAGACGCTGAACAGGAGGCGATGAAGTTTTGAGAACTGCTCTGAGAGACGGTTTCACTGGGGCTGATTTGAGCAAGTAAAACAGTCTGGTGCTCGAGAGCACCTTCTGGTGCTAGCATGCTAACGTGTTGTAATACAGGGTTCAAAAGCACATCGTGATCATCCGAACCAAGTAAAACGGCTCCAGACTTTGAAGTCTGAACAAAACTAGCCTCCGATCCTAAAGAGGGCGCCACTATGATTTTAAGATGCGTCGTGTTGTAGGTTGAAGGTGATTCAGTTGCGATTGAAGCTTCCGGTATGTTCTGTACAGGTTGTTTGGTAGAAGTTTGTGAAGTCTGATTATGACTTTGTTGTTGTGTGATATTGTTATGCTGCCTCTTGTGACTGCGAAGAGAATCTTCCCTGACGAATGAAGCCTCACATAAATCACAACGATATGCTCGTGTGGCTTCTAGTTTCGCTCTGTAACGTGAACTAATCGGTTTCGTCAGATCTTCCCCATTCCCGCTAATCCTTCCGGATTTACTCAGCCTGTCTGGTTTATCCGCATGACACTTTCTAGTGTGGATTAGCAAATTGCTGCGCTGCTTACTAGCAAATGAACAGAGGTCGCATTTAAATGGTCGTTCGTCAGAGTGCACACGCTCGTGGATCTTGAGCGCCCCCTTGCTGGAGCAGGAGTAACTGCACTCGCTGCACTGCAAAGGCTGGGCTGGTTGGTGCTGCCGCGAATGGTGTCGCAAGGCGGCTTTGGTGGAGCACTGGAAATCACACTTGGAGCAGTGGAAGGAGTCCGAGGCGCTGTGCTTCAGATGCACGTGAGATTTTAAATTGGCCTTCATGGCACAACGATAATCGCAAAGGTCACATTTGTAAGGCTTCTCACCAGAGTGAACCCGACTGTGGCGTTTCAGGTCGGAGTTGATCTTGAATTTGGCATCGCACTGGTTGCACTGGAATGGGGCATCACCTGAGGAGGAAAACAGGCATGGATGTGAAGTCAATACAGATGTGAGAAATTCCAGGGTTAAGGATGTGACATTTGCAGTAAAAACTCAGGTCATCTTTTTGTTCTTCTAAAGCAGCAATTCTCAATCCTGGTCCTCTTGACCACCCGCTCTACAAATTTAGCCTCTTTCTCTTGTTTAACAAACCATATTTGGATAAGTCAAATATCAAATCAAATCACTTTTATTGCCACAAAATAGTACAAATACAAAATAGTACAAAATACAGATACAACGCCAGTGCAAAATACAACGGCACACTCCCAAAAAAACAGGACAATGTAAAATTGACAGCAATATGTACAATAAATAGGTGTCCGCATAGCTGTAGGCAGTATTGTTTCAAGTATGGATTGGTTAAAGTGCAGTGCATGCTACATAATGATGGTGTGCTGTGAGGGGTATGGAAGAGTCTGTGTGTGGTGTGTTAAGTGTTCATCAGCCTGATAGTCTGAGGGAAGAAACTTTCCTTCAGTCGGCTGGTGCGTGATCAGATGCTGCGGAACCATCTGCCTGAGGGTAGCAGAGAGAAAAGCCTATGGCTTGGGTTGCTGGAGTCGGTGATAATTATCTTGGCTTTCCTCATGCTCCGCCTGGTGTAAATGTCCTGGAGGGAGGGAAGCTCACCTCCTACTATGCGTCCAGCAGTTCGCAAATCCTATGTAGGCCTTTGCGATTGCTGCTGGTGCTATTTTCATACCAGGTGGTGATACAGCCAGTCAGGATGCTCTCCACAGTGCAGGTGTAGAAGGAGCGGAGGATGTGGGGGCTCATTCCAAACCTCCTGAGACGCCTGAGGAAGAATAGGCGTTGTTGTGCCTTCCTCAGCACTGTGTCTGTGTGAGCAGTTAAATCCTCAGGGATGTGGACTCCAAGAAACTTGAAAGTGCTGACACTCTCCACTGGCATCCAGTTGATGGTGATGGGGGTGTGTTCTCTCTTCTCTCTCCTAAAACCCACCACCAGCTCCTTGGTTTTGCTGATCTTGAGTGAGAGGGGGTTTTCCTCACACCACTGCGTCAGAGTGTGCACCTCCTCTCTGTAGGCCGTCTCATCATTATCAGTGATTAGGCCCACCACCGTTGCTACCAAATGCTAAAAAGAGAGCTCCTGTAATCCCAGGGGTTATGTTTCCATGCAAAGATGTGAATTAGATCTATGTGCAAAATTGGATTGTCGCATAAAACATTTGCGAATAAAGTAGCGTTTTCATCCAATGCGTTGCAGAGAACAAAATCAGCACTTCATGATAAACTGCCGACAAATATCAACTAGAAAAATGTCATTTGCTGTGGTAGGAAAAGCAACTGTGGGCCTTTTTTCTTAAACGATGATTTACTTGGACCTGAGAAGATGAAACGCAATAAACGCGCTGTGGTTTTTGGTGGCGTGAGACGCTCTTTGGGAGTGCAGATGCTCAAGACAGTTCTGAAGGTAATAATAGTAACACTAAACCCCTTTGATGATGGACTTTGGCAAAAACAACCAAAAAAATTAAATAAAAAAAAACGTTTTAGATGTTTTACTCAGTTTTGGCAAAGCAAATGCATGCACAGCACTGATTGCGAGTGTTATCACTTTCATAACATTACAAAGATGTGCTGTCTGACTTCGAAAACAAGAAACAGGAAAACAGTTTTATCTTATTAATCTTTTGGCAATGTTTCACATGCAAATGTTAATTATCAAAAATCAGTACCTGGAAATACTCTGTGTAGCTGAAAACAAAACGCAGCTTAAAGACAGGACTTACCATTTTACTTTAACTAACATGAAGTATTGTTCTATTATAATTAAGTGTAACATATTTATATACATGCTAAATTGAAACAGAAATGTACTTATTAAATATATAAAAGACTAAGTGTTATATTTTAAATGATTAAAAACTTTTTGATTATAAATCAGTAAAAGATTTGAAATATCAATTAATTTGTTTTTGGGGGCTGCATTGTGACCCCTACATTGAGTTTTAAAATATGTCACATAATGACATGACATATGACTTAAGTTTAAATATATATAATTCAAAATAAAAGTTTGTTTTGACAATAAATTTGTGTGTACTGTGTATATTAATTCGTATTCATATTATGTATATATAAATACACACACGATGCATATATTGGAGAAATATTTTATTTACGGCGACGTGGTAAATGTCACTTTAAGCTAATTGTAGTATCTTGAAAAATATCTATTAAAATATTATGTACTGTCGTCATGGCACATATAAAATAAATCAGTTATTAGAACTATTATGTTTAGAAATGTGCTGAAAAAAAGCTCACCTGTGTGAGATCTGAGGTGAACGGTCAGCTGGCTGGAGTTCCGGCTGGCGTAGGGGCAAATCTGACACTTAAAGGGTCTCTCGTCATAGTGGATGCGGAGATGCTTCTTCAGGCTACTGCTGTCGGCCGCCGCATATGTACAGTACTTACACTTGTGCGGTTTCTCTCCCGTGTGCAAACGGCTGTGGAGATTCAGTTTATCGCGGCGGCTGAAGCGTTTATGACAGAGTTCACACTCGAAAGGCCTCTCACCTGAACACAGGAGTCAGATCTCAGCACCTTCATATTTTAATAAGTGTAAGATGAAGCCACAGAGAGGAAAATCACTTACCAGTATGTGTTAAAATATGTCTCTCCATGTCTTTCTGACCATACTGAGTTTTGAATGTGCACCCTTAAAATAAAAAATGAAATATTAAATACAGTTGAAGTCAAAATTATTAGCCCTCTTGTGAAATATTTATACTTTTTAAAATATTTCTCAAGTCTTATTTAACGAAGCAAAGACAATTTAACAGTATTTCCTATAATATTTTTTCTTCTAGAGAAAATCAATAATTCAATAAAGGTCAATAATTCAGGTCAATAAAGGTCAATAATTCAGGAGGGCTAATAATTCTGACTTCAACTGTATAATGCTTTTATATATTTTTTTGTGGCAATTAACATTGATACAACATTTCAAGAGTTCACACTTAGATATTGTTTGATGGTAGCAGGTTTGGCATGCTGTCCTGGGAGAGAACCCTGAGCTCGGAGATAATTGAGCCCAGGGCTCCCATCTGGTGGATAGAGCATGTAAGGAGAGTACGAGATCAGGTGGAAATTAGTTAGTGAAACTTCACTTAGTGACATATTAACACACATAAAATATACAAGCAGACAAAATACATTGTGGCAGTTTCGCAGTTTGCATATTTTTAATAGAGAATTTGCTTGGAATATCTAACATTAGTATTACACACAAAAACAGAAAGAGAGAAAAATGATGACTTAATTAATGCCCCCCAAAATTATAAAATCTAATGCTTACATATTCAATTCACATATTTATTAATAGAGAACTTACTTAGAATATCTAATAATATTAGTATTGCACATAAGAACAGACATAAGAGAGAAAAATTCATTAATAAAATCCACCGCTCTGCCTAGCTACAGCAATCATCCTTTCCACAGCCATACGTTCTAATAATAAATTCAACCAATAATCAATGTTTAATGTTTTACTTTTGCAATGTTAGAGAACATAATTTATAAGCAAATATTATAGAGTAATATAAATCAATATAATACAAAGTAATTTAAATCATTAAAAATTTGACCATAACCAAAATTTGACATAAACCAAGGCAAACAAAACAAAGGTGACATTAGTTAAATATCTTTTAAGCTCTACATAAAGTACACATTTTACTTTTAATATATTAAATATGTTAAGAAAATGCATGTATTAATTGCTTTTTTATTAAACATGACTCAAGATGTTTAAAAAACAATATTATTAGATGTATTAAAAAATTTATTAAAGATGTATTGAAAAACTATTTGTATTATCAAAGTTGAACGTTGATTAACCACATACAAAATAAAGGTTTGTTTTGGCATAAATTAAGTGTGTGTACTGTGTATATTTATTATATATCTATAGTATCTATATATCTATAGTCGCTTGCTTGGTGCTGTGTGTCTATGTGTGTGTGTTTATAGGCTGTCTGGACTCTGACGCTGTCTTTGTTCCTGTTAGCGGGTAGCCGGACAACAAATGCTGAATACAAGCGGGAGCGGTCAGGTTTGGACTAAAACCTGCCAGGAGCGGAATTAAAAACAGTCCCGCGCAGATCTCTACCTTGACCTTCTTTGCTTTGAGGAATTTTGATGTGGAGGCTGAAGTATAAGGCTGAAGAATTCGCCCTCTCCTGTGGTTTGTAATGTAATGGGCAGCACAAATGTCTTGATACCTCAGGCTGCTGATGTTGCCATCCACTCTGCAGATCTCTCGCACCCCCCATACTGAATGTAACCCCAAACCATGATTTTTCCTTCACTAAACTTAACTGATTTCTGTGAGAATCTTAGGTCCATGCGGGTTCCAATAGGTCTTCTGCAGTATTTTTGATGATTGGAATGCAGTTCAACAGATGATTCATCAGAAAAATCAACCTTCTGCCACTTTTACAAATGACCAACTAGAAATCGAGTTATTATTTGCTGCTCTTACAACTAGGATCGACGACAAGACTTTTGTAAGGTAATGTACATGTATATATTCTTCCCAAAACTTTTGACACAAAAATAGACTGCTTTAAATGTATTATTAGTTCTCTGCATTTGCTATTAAGTTATAGCTATTATGGCACACATTTCGAGTAATTAACTATTAACCAAGACTTTTGCAACAAACTAATATCTGGTATGTTGTTGTATGGAATCGTAAATATGAATTTCCTACACTCAAAATAAATAAATAAATAAAAAAGACAAGACATTTGCAGCTTGCTCAAATTACTCAATTGATGAAACAACACAATTCTTAGGTTTTTTTTTGAGACAACCGCTTTGTTAAATATATCTTCAAAAACTTAAATTTGCCAGAAACCACTAAGTTAATTGAATCGATTTGTAATAAATTTATTTGTATTATGTAATTTGCAATCATTCGAAAACCCAGCTTTGTTTTACATTCTAGGATGTATACTAAAACCTTTCATATCAGAAGGTCAACATTGCAGTATTGTGTTGTCAATACAAACCTGAGAACGTGCATATGTGTCGTTTTTGGGTGAGTGCCGGTTTCAGCTTTTTGGAGGGGTTTTTTTGGGCTTTGGTGAGGGTCTTCTTGACTTTCGACACACACGTCTGAAGCGACTCTTAAAAACAATAGTTTAGTGATTAGTAAACAGCACAGACTACTACATGAAGAGTCATCCATAACTAGGGCTGAACAATATATCGTTTGAGCATCGATATTGCAATGTGTGAGTTCACAATAGTCACACTGCAGGATTAGATGATTTAATAAAGATTAAAAGATAAAGATTGAAGATAACTTATACAATGATGACCATGCTATTTAATGTTTGACTGTTCAATTTCTGTACCTGAAAACGGTTGACTCTCCAGAAAACCATAAAGTGCTTTATAATTCACTTTTATCTTTGCTCTATTGTATTTGTACTTTATATGCTTGTAATTTATTATGATGTATTCAAACACACTGCATAGAAAAAGACTTGTATATCCAAATCTATCTAAATTAATGATTTTTTTCCCAAATTGAACTATTCAATTCATCTGGTGAAATCTTATTTATATCACAATATATCGCAGCAAAACAAAATATCACAATGTCATTTTTCCAATATCGTGCAGCCTTAATTATAATCTTGAAAAATGAGTACTTGAGCATTCAGACTCACCACTGGCTCCAGCATTTCGAACTGATATATGAGTGGAGGGGATCTGGCAGCAGTTTTGCTTGTGAGCAAAAAACAGTTCGACGTTGTTGTACTGCTGTTTGCAGAAGCCGCAGATGTGGATGTCAGGACTCACTTCTACTAACAGGTGATTTATGCCTATGAAACAACATTGAATATACCAGAAGAGAGACAAATGACGTTAAGAAGCATTTCTGTTTATTTTTATTTACAAGCAATCAATTATATGTCACAATGTAAGACTTTACTGCAATTTTACTGTTACTTACTGCAAAGACGGCCAGTAAAATACCACAAACTTTCTGTGAAGTTCACTACTGTAATGTGCACTGCATTATGGGTATTTTTGTACTATTTTTATAGTTAATTACTGTATATTGGAAATTTGCGGTATTCTACTGTAAGCAGCAGATGAAAGACTTCTAATGCTTCTCTGTGTGAGTGTGTGTTCCAGAGCAGGAAAGGTTATGCATGACCGTGGGGGTTTTCGTTTCAATAACAGTTGGCAGGATCTCAAACTCCAGCATTTTTGCTATGTAATAATTAAACCAGTATTAAAACTTATTTAAACACCATATTTTGAGTTTTGGTCTAGTTTGAATGGCCATTGGGCTACTTTTGTCAAGAAAACTTGGCAACCCTCATGTTAATGTATGAGTAATTATTTCACATAAAAACCCCTTTAAAGGTGTTTTTACGCTTTCTTAGTGCAGTATTAAAAAACGCAAATTTCAATTTTAAGCTTGTTAAAAATCCCCTAAAAAGTTACAGCAAAAATATAATGATAAGTGCAGTAATAAATAAATAATGATATAACAATGTCTTGAATTTGCTGTGTTTGTAAATATATATATTTAAACTAGGGGTGTCAAAATTAATCGTTTCTTCAATGCACCGCAATGCAGACGCGGACAATTCGGTATCGGTTCAGTAATAATCATAACCGGTTATTACTGACGTCATTTACCTCATATGCGCTCTGTCGCGAGGGAGACGATCGCGAGTATTTACAACGCTCTAACTACTTAATACTCATGAACTGTGCACAATTTCACTGTGTGTGTTTGAGAATAAAAGTAGCCTACCCCATCTCTCTCTCGCTCTCTCTCTCTCGCTCACTTTCGCTTTGCCTCTGTCTCTGTCTCTCTCTCTTTCTCACACACACACAGTGGCCCATTTGACCTGCTGGCGTGACTTTTCTTTTCCGCTCGTACAGAAACGAGCGCGTGTCTGCAGAGTTTTCTCCACCGTGTCTATCATAGATCAGCTGTGAGATCGCCGCTGCCACCTGCCGCTTATCATTCATCTGAAGAGCGCAGCGCGCAAGAGCCAATCGCAACCGTTTCTGTTGAGGGTGTAACCAATCAAAGAGGTGTAATAGAACTAGACAAGGATCAGAAATTGAGCTGGATATTTATATTTGTTTATATTATTTGCTAAATGCTAATTTTTTTTAAAGTTACAGTTTATATATCTGACTGTATTAAATGACACAATTGTATTACAAATAATAACCTATATAAATATAAATATATTCATACATTTTAATACAAGAGCTGCTGCTGTGAAGAAAATGTGATGCACTGAAATATCGAATTGAACCGAATCGATGGCATGATAATCGTAACCGAACCGAACCGTGAGACTAGTGTAGGTTCACAGCTCTAATTTAAACACAATCCTATACAGGATATGGGTCAGTTTCATAATATTAGCATTCATTTAATTAGGTACAAAGAAAAAGTAAAGTGTTGAATATTTTAAACATGTGACACTTGTAAAAACATAAGAATATCGGTCACACGTTATAATGAGGTTGTGAAATTTACAAACATAACCAAGCAAAAAGCAAAAAGTCAGATTTGTTAGTATATTACCTATTATTACACTGGATTATTTTTGAGTGGTTGTCTTCTCTATATCACGATAAAAAAGTACAACAGGCGTTATTTTAAAATCGCATAATTGATGATAAGATAAAGTTGGTTATAGTTGCATATTAAGACATTCTCCTTATTAATTTACTTTCAGAAAAGTATTTCTAAATTGGGAAATCATACCAACAGCAAATTATTATCAAAGTACAACACTCTTTACAGTCAGTTAAATAGTGCTAATGTTGTTTTGAAGTCATAGTTACAGTTCTCAGCATAACTGAGTACACCCCATTTCAGAAATGAATATTTGACTCCATTTCTCAGTGAATATCGGTCATATATTTTGGTGCATTATTAAACGGATATATTTATTAAAATAATATTTTAGTCATCAAACATCTTTAGAAATTTAAAGATAATACATTTCCATATTTTTGCAAAATATTGCAAAACAAATTACAAACTACAACATTTCAACTAAACATTTGGATTTTTTTCTTCTCTTGAATTTAGCTCTTTTTACATTTTTTATATCAGTCACAGTCATTCTTACATAAGATTTCGGACACAATATACAAAGTAGCATGGTAAACAATATAGTCTGTGTGTCACTGGTAAAATTTGATTTATATACATTCTCCTTTAAAATAAAGCATTAAAATATACAATAAAAAAGTAATATTATTACTGATTTATATATATTGAAAATATATAGAAAACATAGAAATCATATTTGCAACCAATGACTTCAGTACAACAATCTCATGTAAGTATGACTTCAAAACATTAATACTATTTAAATGACTGTGATCAATGTTGTACTTTGATAGTCATTGTCTGCTAATATGATTTTCCTTTTTTTTAAAATACTTTTCTAAACCTATATTATTAACTGGGAAGTCTGAAAGTGTGAATTTTTACCTCAATGGATTTTACTCATTATTGATATTAAACATTAAAAATAGTGTGATAAACAATATAGAGACAGTGTCACAAGTTGTCACTGAACGAATGTTAGAATATAAAACCAATTTTACTTCAATTTTGACGTGGTAAACAATATAGATATTATTAAAATGAATAAATGTGCGAAAATAAAACCTTACACTTATTACCAAATTAGTGTACGTTATCTCCATATCTTAAGCAACTTCCATTTACGTTTAATCAACAATGTAAGAAACATGCCACATAAACATTGTTATTATAATATATATATTTATTATGACATATTAAAATGGACTTTTCCTGAATCTATCAGTTTACCAGCATCACCAGTTTACTGGATCTCTTAATGTATAGGTATCTAACGTTATTTCACGAAGGGTTTTCTTTTAAAGTCTATTTCAAAACAATGCATTTCTTTGATTTTCTCATATCTTTTTATACCTTCTCCGTTGAATGTTGCCATCTGGATGAAAATGTCAGCTGATTTTGAGTATGTGCTGTATTTGACAACTTTAATTCGCGTTTGCTGCTGTTGCTGTTCCGTGTCCTCTTCATTTCAAACGGGGTTTTCAGCAGAGTTGAGGGTTTTGCGACAGTGTGAACTGCTTGACGGTAAACAACATTTCGTCGCTGGAAAGCGTTCAGGGCTGTTGAACAGAAGCAGCGCCTCAACAGTCAGGAGACGCAGGTAAGTTCATTCAGTTAATATTTAAGATTTAAACTTGGATTAAAAAGTGTGATAATAAAAGTGTGTTTTGTGATGATTTTGAAACGTTGTATGCATGGTAAGGGTATTATGTTTATGACATGGCTTTACCTTTTTTTACAGTCTATGTTTTACCTAAACATACAAACTTAACTTTCCCAGGGATGGGTTGCGGCTGGAAGGGCATCTGCTGCGTAAAAACTTGCTGGATAAGTTGGCGGTTCATTCCGCTGTGGCGACCCCGGATAAATAAAGGGACTAAGCCAACAAGAAAAAATGAATGAATGAATGAATACAAACGTAACACTGTAAGGGCCATTCTTCAACTACGGGCATTTTTAGCCTTGTGAAGTTGAGTAAAAAACTTGTTCAAAATTAACGTTACATAGCCTCAAAAGTTTAAACAATTTGTCTAGTTTTAAGATCTGTAAGAGGACAAAATTAGATAAAAGAGAAACATTTTTTTCCATCGTGAACTAAACAAATGTCAATTCCATCACATCTCAATATACAGCTTTTATTTCAAAATGAAATAAATGATGGCAGTGAAACTTTGTCTAAGATCATTTTTATATCTAGTTTAACCAATTTTTCCACAATATATACAATAATTATTCATTTGTCAATTAAATAAATTAGTCCCTTAGGACCAAATGCTGAATTATACACCTGTCACACTCTAGAATTTAATATTAATTTGGTTAAGGGCTTATTAGAAAATAAATAAACCGAATTTGTATATTAAATAGAGCATAAATATTGTAAATACACCTTTAATGTGTGATGAGGACTTTCTAAATATTATTTTAAAACGTGTGTGGTGATGTAAATGACAGTGGTGAAAATGACATTTCAACAGTTTATCGTGAAAACATGAAAAATAGCTTCACCGATGAGCTTTGAATTGATACTAGCCTTTCATGTATACAAAACACTCTTTTTTTTAACCTTGATTTTGTTTTGTTTCTAAAAACATCTTTGAAGGTACAACATGTTTGGAAATGACTAGGCCCACACGGAATCTGCGCGCGCAGAATTCCGCAGATTTTCTGCAGAATTCCGCAAATTTTTTGCCCATTATTAATTCTGTTTATTTACTTGAGTAAATCTGTAAATCTGAATTTATTCAGTTTTTATTCAGTAATTTATTACTTTTTATTTAATATATTAAGGTTCTAGTTATGGTACTCCGCTAGATACTCCCAAAATAATTCTGCAGAAATCCGCAGATTTTTACCAAAATTCTCCGCAGAAATAGCAAAAAACATCCGCAGATTCCGTCTGGCCCTAAAAATGACATAGAATAAATGTATTTCCTTATCAAGCAATATTGTGTTGTTGATAGATATGTAAAATCCCTCCATCTTGAACATGTTCTCAGATGGCACTAATTATTTTTATAGAAACCACCTAAATAATCTTTCACACAAACCTTTTAAAGTGACATTACAGTGTCGTGGTGGAAATGACACTGATACTGTGTGACAGCTATCTTTTGTATAAAAATTATATTGATAATAGTCTCAGATTAATTACTATACAATATTTAAATTATTTTTCTGGTTTTACTTAATTAAGATACATTAATAGATATAAATATAAATAATATTTAAAAATTTTATTGTTGAAGTTTAAAACTCTGGGTGTGTGACAAGGTGAAAACAGTGATTTTGACATCTAAAAGGAGGTTGAATAATATGAAAAATATATAATAGAGAGGTAGTAAATTATTTTAAAGTAGGTTTTCTTTTTAGTTTGACAAAGAAAGAGGAATATAAACAAAATTA